GTGGAGGGCAGTGTCACTGGCCCTCAGATGTGGGATCCGAACCAGGGCCCTCTGGCATCCCAAGCCAGTTCTTAACCATCGCGCCACTTGGCCGGCCCCAGAGCTCACATTCTTAACCAACTGAGCCATTGGGCCAGCCCCAAGATGGTTATTTTTAAATCATGTAACTAGCACAGAAAATTTTTCCTCACTAATCTCGAGTTGCATATCTTAAGTATTTAATTCAAAATGGGGGCAAGAAAAGAAAAAACAATGTGAAATTATCAAATGAAGGGAAATCTGTAATTGGCAATTCTTTTAAGTATATCTTCAAAAAACATGTTTATGAATGGGGTATCGATGATAGAAAGCTAACAAATTAACTTAGAATTGAGAAATTCAGAGCAGCCACTATCCCTGGGACCATTAATATTTTCTTAGTGTAATTCTGAATTAGACCCAGCTGGTTTGCTCCCAGGGCCTATAACCTCAGCATATTTGGTATTTTATAAATGTATTTTCTGAGAAAAACAAAAATTACAATTTCAAGACAATTTCAATAAAAATCCCAAGGTTTTTTTGGTAGAAATTGACAGGCAGATTCCAAAATTTACATAAAAAAACAAAGAAGCTGGAATGGCCAGAACAATTTTGAAAAAAATAATACAAAATTCTTCATCTAGGCATTTATTACTGTACTTCACCCCACTGTTAATGATGGGTATTCAAGCAGTTTTCTTTTGCAGTGATAAATTATAAGATTCCACAGTTTTCTTATTTCTCTTTATTTTAGTATATTGTAGCATTATGTATTTTTGTCAGATTTATTTAAGTGTAATTTCCATACATTACAATTTACCCTTTCTAAGTGTACATTTTGATGAGTTGTGCAACCAATATTCTCCTCCCTGGTAACCAATGGTCCAATTTTGGTTTCTATAGTTTTGTCTTTTCTAGAATGTCTTATAATGAAATCATATAGTATGTAGCCTTTTGTGACACGTTTCCTCACTTGGCATAATACTTTTAAGATTCATCTATGTTACTGCTTGTATCAGTAGTTTGTTCCTGTGTCAACTTGGCTAGGCTGAATTGTTTCCCAGAATTCTCTTCCCGGTAAGCTTCCAGTTAGGGTGGGCCACAAGACACATTTCAGTGTGAAGTATGGAGGGCAGACGTAAAGCAGTCACTGTTTTTCTTCATGCAGGCACTTCCGGAGCTCAGACATGTTGTAACTGACTGGCTGGCTCAACTTGATGGCGTGGAGCAGCAGTCTGGCTTACAATGTGCCATCTTTCCTTGGATCCTCCTTCAGCTTCTCTGATTCCTGGGACAAGGAATCATAATTTAGAAACCTGGCAAAGGGTAACTTTTCCCCAGGATATCCACATCATCCAGGTTGGAGACAGCAAGAAGTGACATGGGGGTGTCAGTTCGTCCTCATGGGCTCCAGTGTGTCCTTGTTTCTTCCATCTTACACCGATCTTTGCTTCCCAACTGCATACCCTGTGAACTCCAAGCTCTAGCACTAGCTGCATGAACAAGCCTCACCGAGATTGCTTAACCAATTCCAATTGTGTAACGTCAAATCCCTGTAAACAAATCACTGTACAAACATACATGTTGCCTGCAGATATCCTAGCTGTTCTGCTTCTCTGATTGAACTCTGACTGACACACTTCCCTTTTTATTACTGAACAGATTTCCACTGGATGGAGGTACAATTTGTTTATCCATTCACTAGCTGATGGACATTTTGTTGTTCTCAGTTTGGGATAATGAATAATCATTCACATACAGGTTTTTGTGTGGATATATTATTCCAAAACATGGTATTTATAAATATAAGAAGAAATAGCTAAAAAAAGTTACATGTGATGGCCACCGAAGGTAGGAAGGGACACAAAAGGCTCCAATGTTGATCATTTACATTGTAGGTCTTCCTTACCATGATTAAAAACAACAACAACAACAACACTTAATTTTATATTTTAAAAGAGTGAATTTTATGACACGTGAATTATATCTCAAAAAACGTATAAAAATATACAATAATACAACAGACAAACTGTCAACGTATAATCTAATGTCAAGTTTTATTCACCTTTCTCTTACAATATGCTATCATCCAAAATATACCTCATAAGTAATTCATGCATAAAGTAGACACTCTATAAATATTTTGATTTAATAATTAGGTAGTTTTTAGAATGACTAAAAATCCTGATGTAAAATCCCAACTGGGAAGTGCATAATTCCATTGTAGACAAAATATATAACTTTACAATGAACATTTTATAAGCATTTTCCCCAAAGAGGGAACACTCACAATTTAGAAATTAAAAAGTAAAAAGCAAGATGAAACACAATACTAATATATTCAGATGGATCCCTGGCTTGGTGGGGCTTACAGACCATGCATGGGCTACCCTGGGGCCTTAAGACCATCTGACATTCAGTTAAAAAGATAATTATATACCTAATAACTTCTTAACTGGAAATGCTACAGGAATATATAAGCAATAGCTTGTAAATAATTTTTTACTACATCCTTTGTGTGAGCACAGAAAAAAAAATTTAAATATATATTTTATTCTCCAATTTTAAAAAATCAATACTTTTCATCATAAGCAGCAAGAATGATCCCAAAACAAGCAGAGTCACTTTCATAGAAGCTGCGTTAAATTCTGTGAAAATACATTGGGAGACAAGCAGAAGAGCCTTAGTCTAAGTATATAACAAATCCTTGCATTGAAGGGTCTTCAGTGTTCACAAAAACAAAACAGGCTATGAGCACAAATGATAAAGAAATATCTTCTAAATACTTATTTTGGGTTAGCTTTATAATTATGAACATTCATTCCAACTTGAAAAAGAATTGGACCACTATTATAAGGAAAACTAAAAGCCACAAATGCCTAACCTTAGAGAAGTGCCTGAGCAAATCTATAAACATAAATACTCTATAGCTACAAAACAAAAAGTCTACTAACTATATTTCTCAAAAACTATATAATTCTATTAAAATTTAAATACATGGACTATATCAATACATGGAAATGTATATATATAAAATTCTACTAAGTGAAAAAAGCAAAATTAAAAAATAGTGATTACAACTATGTAAAAATAAATACAGAGTGCCCCAAAAATGTATATACATTTTAAGAAAGGAAACAACTGTATTAAAATTGTAATAACATACACCGGTAACAAAAGGTGAATACAACTCACGTTTGACTTCTGCAATTACAAGAGGTGCTCAAAGTGGTTACCACCAGTATCCAGACATTTCTGATTACGGCGAACTATAGCTTGAGCAACGTTGGCCAAAGTGTCCACTTGTATTGCTGCGCATGCCGTTTCAATTTCTTCACACAGTACCATACGTCTCAAACTTATCATGAATGGGTACAATTGTTAGGCATGTTGGAGGTTCTGTTGTACACTCATGCCTTCATTGTAGTTGTACTTCCACAACGTTCTCGAATTTCAAATACCACTTCAAAATGATCTTGCGCCCCTCGAACAACAATCGTGCTTCTGCCAGTTTCTTTGACTGTCCTACCAAGGACAAAGGTAACGCTAGTATTCATTTGATTAATGCCATCTTTTGAGCGAACATCATACTACACAGTGCTACCAAAATTCAATTCAGGTTCAAAAAGTAATACATAGATAACATCTCTTAAAATGTGTATATATTTTTTGGCAACCCTGGTTTATTACAATAACAAAACTGAAATGAATTTAAATTTACAGAGACATGAATAAATTCAAATATCCATTAAGGTTGCTTCTTTGTTGCTTAGGATTACAACAAAATAAGAAAAAAATGGACTATTATTTTAGACAAAAACTATACTCCTAAATAATAAATACTGAATGATATGTGAAGTCCTAAAACAGAGATTTTAAAACCATGACTTCTATTATTTCAAGTTATCCTACGGACAGAGATCAGCCCGCATTTACCGATCTTCATTACTGAACTTTCTGGCAATCTGTACAATCACAACTGCCCTTTTTAAACATAGAGAAAAACTTTTACTGCACTGTTCAAATACGAAAACCAAGCAGCATGCTTACAAAATCTCTTTCCTTAATCTGTTTTGCTCCTACAAAAAGTCGCTAACAGAGGGTTCTAAAAAACTAATTCTATATACATATTTTATATAACATATATTTATGCAATAAATATTTTAAAGAATGGCTTTTACATAATTGTTTATTTCAATATATATCTTATTGAATTGCGAGTTATGCAAACAGTCTTTCAGAGTTATTATTGAAAATTATTCTCTACATGATTTAGAAAATGGTTAATTTCTTGGATAAAACATAGCATATTTAGAAGTCCGAAAGCCAAGTAAATCTCTTATTTCATTTCGGAATTTTGACAGATCTTGGCGCAGTTCATTTAGATTTTCCACAGTTGCCTGATCTGTACTTTGCATCTTCTGCCTCATGGAAGTCAGGTAACGATGCACTAAGCAGCACATCACTTTTTGGTAGTTTTCATCTCTCTTTTGTTTCAAATTTCTCCATTCCTTCAAAACAAGCAATAATATGATACTAACAATCTGCATAAACAATATTTAAATATGGTAGATTTTTAAATAAAATTCACAAATACAAACACATATCTTTCTAATGCTTTAATAGACTATATTCTTGCCACTGTGTTTTATAAAATAACATTCAACACTTGTTTAAAACAAACATAGCCTGCATATTGGTTTTATTCATTCACCTGTATGCTTATTTTGATTTAAAAAGAGACTTAGGAAGCCTCAGTTTATAGGAGGGATTACCAAACTATGACCACAGGCCAAATAGGGCCAACTTCCTGTTTTTTATGGCCTGGGAGCTAAGAATGGCTTTTACAGATAAACATTTATAATGAATTTTGCAATAGAAAACAGTAATTTTGAGACCCAATTAAACAAAATGGGATTCTACTCTTTATTAATAGATCTATTATAAAAATTATTACTCACTTATATTGTTACTCACTTATTTTAAATTTCATCAATAAAAATTTAGGTTCTTTCTTGTTATATAACTACTCACACAAATCTTTGATTTTGTCTTGGTCTACAAAGTCTAAATAATTTACTATCTGGCCCTTTAAAGAAAAAGTTTGTCAACCTCTGGTTTATAGCAACATGTATTGAATTATTCATGATTGAATAACTTTCAAGAAGAATCAGGAAAATATGAGCTGACTCTACTAGTCAGTCTTTATCTACGTTGACAGAATAGGTATTCTGAATATTTTCCATGTTTTAAAACCAAGACAAGATTTCATGAAACAATTGCAGCTTTCTCTCTCATTCTCAATAGTTACTGAGTCCTTACTTTATGTTCTATCTATATGCCATGCTTCAGGGAAACAAGAGTGAAAACAAAATCAGCGTCAGGCCTTAAGAAGCCTGCATGTTTATGCCTTAGGACACATCTGAGGTTAGGAACTGTTAAAACGTCCACACTGCAGTTCTAATCTCCTACCTTTAAACTATTTTGCCGTTTAACCTTGCCTTTGGATGTATGAGAGCAAATCCATTTACTGAGGCTACTGATCATATAGCAGATTGTCTTTGGTGAGGGAACGATGTTGAAAGGGGGAGGTAAAGTACATTTGTCATCAAAGTAGCTAAGCCACAGCTTGGCTCGAGCAAACTTCCATTCTTTGTCTTCGTGATTCTGTAAGAAGCAAATGAAAAAGTAGTATAGGGTGTGAACACACAGACACACAGACACACAGACACACAGACACACACACACACACACACACACACGGGGGCGAGGGAGAAAAAGAGAGATAGTTTTAAACTGTCTAAATGTTTTCACACCTTATAAGTAAAAATTTGGTTCAAGATTTGCAATTAATATACATTATTTACATTAAAAAATCTAATTCTTAAATGATACTATTAATCCTTGTAATTTTCATACACTTGGTATGACCTTAAGAGACCATGCAGTTCTGAGCGAATGAACTTACTGCAATCAGCTGAAAGCTTTTGTGCAGCATGGCCACAAGCAGCTTGGTGAGCACGATCACCACCACCACGTTGTACGTCCCGACAATCACGGCTCCCACAAAGGACTGCAGCTCTTCTCCGTAACTGATTCTCGTGACAAAGATTGCAACATGTGCTAAGGAGAAAATATACCAGAACAAAGCAAAGCAAGTGCCAACGAACCTGTAAAGACAATTACATTTCTGTTTAAGAGAATACTAAAGAAATTAATTAGCAAAAATGAAGAATTCATTTATATCAACATCACCTAAAGAAAACATTGATAATCCAAGAATACTTTATAACATAAATGAAGTTGAGCCCAGCAGTACAGGCATGTCTTACTTTAAACAAAGAAATAGACTCAGAAGAAAGATGAACGCTCATTTAATCTCCTATTGCCTTTCTGTCCATTCTCAATGCAGGGGCAGCTATGACCCTGCTATTGCCTGATTAGATTCTGTCACTCCTCTGCTCAAAACTTTCAAATGGTATCTCAATAGCCCAAAGTCCTTACAAAGGCCAAGCGGGTCCTGCGTGATCCCCATCACCTTTCTGACCTCATGTCTTACACTTCTCCCTGGGATTCATTCCCTTCCACCCACACCTGCCTCCTGGCTCTTCCTTGAATATGCCAGCCATCCTCCATCTTGGACATCTGCTTTGCCATCCACTCTATCTGCCAACGCTCTCCCTCCAGTATCTCTTTAATTGCCTGATTCTTCATGGGCTTTATATCTTTACTTGAATGTCATCTCTGGGGGGCCTCCCCTCACTTCCTATCTAAAACTGTACCCGCTCCCACATATATTCCCCCTGACCCAAGCTTTGTCTCTTTTGCCCTTATCACTATGTAATAGAGCATATATTTTATTTCTCTTTTTATTGCATATATCATATATCGCCTCACCAAAATATAAGCTGCATGATGTAGTTTTGCTCACTGATAACTTCATTCACTCAGCTCTTAGAACACTGTCTAGTATATAAAAAGTGTTAGATGTATATTAATTATTCATTTAATTCCTTAAATAAGATGACATGACAGTAACTGAAGAACAGTTGGTACACAATAGGAACCTGACAAATGTGTAATTCCACATCCCTTCTCCATTATTTTATTTAAGAATGAGGAGAGGTATTTTGTCTGCCTCACAACCAGTTGCTCAGTTCCTAATTGAACCTAATTACAGTACATATGTATTACTATAACAGTAAATTAGAGAAAAAATTGTTCACGAAGCTCTAATAATTCTCAGTTTGAATAACCTCCTAGCCAGTTTTGAAAATATGAGAGTGTTTTGGTTGTAACAATGGCTGAGAGTTGCTACTGACATTTAATTCTGGAGGAGCAGAGATGTCAGATGTCTTCCGATATATCAGACTGACAAAGGATGGTCCTGCCCCAGATGCTAGCAGGGCACAGAACACCAAGGGTCCCTCTGCTAAGATGTGCCACAGGAGGGGAAACAGTGGAAGAACATGGGCCTATTAATCAGTTACGATTTTCTGTATGAAGATAACCATCCAACGATTCATGAAAAATAAGTACTACTTATTAAAAAAGAATTTCTTAAAGAAAATTAGAAGTTCTATTTCTGTAGGTATTAATTCATACATAACACAATAGAAAGAGAGAAACAGTAAAGACATTGTATGAGACACTCACGAGTGGAAGGTATCATTGCTTTGCTGTTCACAGAAGATGCCTACACAGTCCTTCTGTTCCTTGGGAGTATAGCCTTTATCATACAGTTGTGTCAATCCAATTGTGAAAGAAAACAAAACAAGAAGGAACATCCCAAGAAACTTTCCAAAATCTTGTAGCATCTGTCCCATTGAAATCTGTGGAGTATATTAGGTGTTCATTAACATTATCAGGAAAACAAAATATTAAATATTAAACGACCAGGCAATAAAAGGAAGACAAACACATGAGCCACATCTACTCTTTTTATGCCTCTGGTTGAGGTAGTTCAGCATTTTTAAAACATCAAAACTCCAGCTGCCTAACAAAAAGCCATTCTGATCATGTTAACACGGCCTGTTGGATGGTATATTGCTTGTACCTGGACCAAGTCTGCAGAGAGCACTGTTCCTATGAAGGTAGAGGAAGAGATGTGCAGATTTAAGTGCCTAATTTGCAAGTGATTAAAAGGAAAATTTCTCACTCAAATCTGAAGTGAAATAAATGCTTATATTTAGTTTCTTAAAATTTACATATATATAATCATTATGACATAAAGTATTCCATTTATTTGCAACCAATTCTAAACCAATTCCCAAAGGACAGCATTTCCTCCTCCAAGACTGCCCTAATATCTTTTGCTGAGGTGATTGATTTTCTTTCATTTAGGGTCCATTATTAGAAAATATTATGTGTACAAGTCAAATGAGGGGTCTAGAATTAATATGAGTATCTTTTGCATTGTAGACATCTGAAGTGCATCTGGGAGCTTTATCCAAGCCTAATCATTCTTCTTCCATACTTCTTCAAAATCTGGGGAATAGGTACTTTTCATAAACTTTTGGTGTTTAAATTGGCACATAAATTTGGAGAATAATTTGGCATTACCCTTTTTGACCCAGCAATTCTCTCCCTACAGCTTTAGCCAATAGGTAGGAAATACACAAAAGCACATGTATAGACGAGGATTTTCATTACAGTATTGTTAGAGGCAGCCAAAAATTCAGAACATCCTAAATGTTAAAAAAATGAAGTGCATCTATAAGTATGCACTGTACTTTCTATGCTGGCATAGAAAGGTGTCCATAAAATATTAAGTCAAAAAAGCAGGATGTAGAACTGTGTAACAGCTCCCATGTCTACTCTTTAAAAGGATATATCAGATAGATCTTTTCAGATAGATATGATTTAATATGCACAGGAAACTTCTGGAAGTTTACATAAGGAACTATTAATAATTCTTATCTACAGGAGGTAGGGCTAGAGACCGGAAGGAAGACTTTCTCATTTGGAATTTTCTTTACTATATACATTTATTACTTTTAAGATACAAAAAGTAGTGTTTAAACATAACCCTTCCTCACATTTAACCAGGTCAAATTTATATCATTAAATCCAGCTTAACGTAAAATTCCTAATTGCCTCAAGCCTGTCACAATCACACATGCCAGTCACCACTGATACAAAGGGGCAGCAGCAGGCAAGTCGTCAAGCCCCTCGGGCCCATGAGTGAGCAGCTGATTAAGTGGGAGAGGTATGCTAAAATGTCTTAGGCACACCACAAGCTAGCAACCCAGGCTAGGCAGCAGTGAGGTCCGTATGCCTGCCCTGCACGTGTGACTCGGCCATGTGGTGCTTTTCAAAGTCTCATGCTGACCTCACTTGGCCCCATGGCAAAATTCTGACAAAAGAAACAGGGAGCTTTTAGAATCAGAAAGCTCAAAATGTATGGGTCATCTTGGAAAAGAAATTATTTATTCAGACTGTGAGTACTTAGAATAAAGTCATAACATATTAGAAAACTTAGTAAGTTATGACAGTAAGAATATAGTACCTGCTTTAAATAACTTCAGAAAAGATTGCCTTTGAAGAAAATTTAGATGCTGTAAGCTTTATAGATAGACTTTTCCAAGAGTGGCCATGTATGATATTTTTATTTTTATTTTAAAAATTTAGTCCCAAAGTAGAAGCCTTAATTTAACATTACTAAGTTTTATAGAGTAAGCATAACTCAATTTTAATATCAAGATGAGCAATATTTAATAAGAAAACCACAAACTTCATGACTTGGTCTCTAAAAGCATCACATTAGTTCTTTTTGTTTTGTTTTGTTTTTGTTTGTTGTTGTTGTTTTTTTTTTTGTAGCTCAGCCACCTTTTGGCAGCTCAGCGGCAGCTCAGCGGCAGCTCAGCTCGGGCCATGAATCAAACCAGCGACCCTGTTGCTCAGAGCTCGCACTCTTGAGCAAGCTCCTAACTAACTGAGCCACTCGGCCGGCCACATTAGTTCTTGATTAAGATGGAATAACCAAAAGTAGTTACAGGGTGTATCACTGAGGTGAAGATTAGCTCCAACGGCATACATACTAAACATTCATGTAAAAGGCAAACGTTAAAAACAGCACATTTATTTTAGTCTGAGAAAGGTTATAAGATTTAGTTATTTGTAAAAAAAATAATAATGCTTTCTTAAATATTTACTTATTTAAAACTTAGCTGTTTTACTGGAGGAATATGAAAATTAAAACATGAAAAATTTTAATTAATTTTTGTCTGGTATAATTATTGTTATCCCAGCTTTTTTTTCAGTTTCCATTTTCACAAAATACTTTTTTCCATCCCTTTACTTTGTCTGTGTGTTTTCGAAATGAAGCGAGTTTCCTGTAGGCAGCATATGTAAGGCTCTTGTTTTCTTACCCATTCAGCCACCCTATATGTCTTTTGGAGCATTTAACCATTTATATTTAAAGTAATTGTTGGTAGATATGTAGTTACTGCCATTTTACTACTTATAGTTTTGATCTTTTCTTCTTCTACTTCGTCTTAAAGAAGTCTAACATTCCTTGTAATATTGGTTTGATGGCAATGAACTCCTTTAACTTTTTCTTGTTTGGGAAGTTCTTAATCTGTCTTTTGATTCTGAATTACAGCTTTGCTGGGGAATCTTGGTTATAGGTCATTGTTTTTCATCACTTTGAATATTTTCTGCCATCCTTTCTGGACTGCAAAGTTTCTGTTGAAAAATCAGCTGACAGTCTTATGGGAGCTCCGTTGTAGGTAATTAACTGCTTTTCTCTTGCTGCTTTTAAGATTCTTTTGTTTTGTTTTTTAAACGTTTTATTGGGGAATTGGGCAAGGGGAACAGTGTTGGAGAATTAGGGGAGGGGAACAGCCAAGTTGTTGTCCTTCAGTCTTAGTTGTGGAGGGCACAGCTAGCTCAGTTCCAAGTTCAGCTGCTATCCGGCCGACCATCTGCAGCTCATAGCTGCTCAGCTCAAGGTGTCATGTTCAATCTTAGTTATGGGTGGGTGTAGCCCATCCTCTCATGAGGGAGTCGAACCGGCAAACCTTGTTAGGAGCACGTGCTCTCACCTGCTGAGCCATCCTGCCACCTGTTGGCAGCTCAGCTCAGGCACAGCTCACTGGCCTGTGTGGGAATCGAACCAGGGACCTGTTGCTCAGAGCTCATGCTCTTAACCAACTAAGCCACTTGGTCGGCCCCTTAAGATTATTTTTGTCTTTAAGCTTTGGCATTTTAATTATGTGTCATGGTGTGCTCCTGTTTGGGTTCATCTTGTTTGGGACTCTCTGCACTTCCTGGGCTTGTATGTCTATTTCCTTCACCAGGTTAAGAATGTTTTCTGTCATTATTTCTTCAAATAGGTTTTCAATTCCTTGTTCTCTCTTTTCTCCTTCTGGTACCCCTATAATGTGAATGTTGGTATGCTTGATGTTGTCTTAGAGGCCCCTTAAACTATCCTCATTTTTTTAGATTTTTTCTTTTTGCTGTTCTGATTGGGTGTTTTCTGCTACCTTATCTTCCAAATTGTTGATTCTATCCTCTGCTTCATCTAATCTATTGTTTATTCCCTTCAATGTATTCTTCATTTTAGTGGTTGTACTCTTCATTTCTGAGTGGTTCTTTTTATGTTTTCTAGCTCCATTTTTATGTTTCTTATCTCTTTGTTGAAATCACTGAATATCTTTACAATCAGTGTTTTGAACTCTGCATCTGGTAGATTGCTTGTCTCTATTTTGTTTAGTTTTTCTTCCGAAGCTTTGTTCTGTTCTTTGGTTTGGGACATGTTTCTTTGTCTCCCCATTTTGGCTTTCTCCATGTGTTTGTTTCTAATGTATTAAGTAGGCCTGCTATGTCTCCCGTCTTAGTAGAGTGGCCTCAGGTAGTAGGTGACCTGTGGAGCCCATCGGCACAGTCTCTATTCACTTGAGCCAGGTGCTCCAGGTGTGTCCATTGTGTGGGTTGTGTGTGCCCTTCTGTAATATTTGAGATTTGGTTGCTGTGGGTACATCAGTGGGAGGGACTGACCCTCAGGCTAACTGGTTGTCAGGACTGGCCGTGACTACAGAGGAGGAGCTGTTGTGCAGGTGCTGACTCTACAAAGCAGGATTCACTTTAGCAGGGCTCTGGTGCCTGCCAAGTATGCCCTTTGAGAGTATCTTTTGTGGAGGTGGTTGGGTGGTTCTCTGGTGTGATCTGAAGCTGGCCACTGGGTGTGATGGTCTCTGGGGAGGGGCTCTGGTGCAGATTGAGGTCAGCCACTGCCTGTGCCCTGCCCAGCACCACTTGGTAGGAGCTACAAAGTGATCTGCAGATGGTGCCACTTGTGCTGAGCTTGGAGGTACCTGGGAGAGGGTAAGCTGTGAACTGAGGCCAGCTGCCACTAGTGCCGGGCTTGGGGCTGCTTAGCAAGATGTATGGGGCACATCGAGGCCAGATGCTGCTTGTTTGGGGTTTGTGAACCTTTGAGAGGTTTTAAGAAAGTCCGCAGCATTAGCCAAGGCAGGATGTTTGTGTGGAAAAGCCACTGGAAACAGCTTGGCTGGGCCCACAAATTGGGTGGGGTGGAGTCTCAGGGAATCACCAAGGTGGGGGTGAATTATGTTAGCTAGGTTGATGGAGACTCAGATATGGCACCTGCCTGTGCAGGCTAGGTGGTGGTGGTGGGCGGGGGAGGGGGAAGGCTCAACAAAGGGACAATGGCTTCTGTCAGCACTTTTGTCTGAGACAAAGCTGTTCCTCCAGCCCTCGACCTGAAGTCAGAAGATTCAGTTCCTCTCCGTATGTCCCTGGTGCCTTTCAAGCTGCTGCCCCAGTGCTGGAGTTCAGGGTGAGTGAGTTTGTCAGTAAGTCAGTATGCAGGCCCTATAAGAGCATCACCTGGGACTCCAGCAGCTCTCTGTCTCAGCCACAATCTCCACTGGTTTTCGCAGCTAGAAGTTATGGGGATTTCTCCCCCTAGCACAGGGCTGGGGAGCCTGGGACCCGAGGGGTCCCAACTCCTCGCTCCTTAGGTTGAGACCTCCACAGCTGAGATACCTCTACTGATTTTTAACTGTCACAGATGGGGGTGGGACCAGCCCACTCCACGTCTCCACCCTTCCTACCATCCTCAAGGTGGCTTCTCCTATATGTCTTTAGTTATAGGGCTTCTGTTCAGCTAGGACTTCAGGCGATTCTGTAGTTTAGTTGTAATTTTGATGTGGTTGTGGGACAAGGCCAGCACAGCATTCACCTACTCCACCATCCTGACCAGAACTCAGCACCAGTTTTTCAATTCAACAAAAATTCATTAAGTAACTACTATGGCAAGACAGTGAGTAAAGCACAGATGAGAAAATTCCCCATCATCAAGGAATTTTTAATTTACTAGAAACAACATAACTGAAAGTTTAAGGCAAAGTAAATATAAATTGTCTTACAATTAAAACAAGCTTTAGGAAGTGCTTATAGAGGTTCAAAGTAATAAGTTCATTGGATGAAGTTATTCATTCCCACGGAAGTAAGAGTGTAGGAATAGATTTTCTAGTGGAGGGGACACTAAAACTGGCACATGTTCCCTTTCCCTGAAAAGTCCAACATCCACTTCCTTTTTATTCATTTTTCAATGCTAAATTCCAGTGTCATGTCTTCTGGGAAGCCTTCTCTGATGCCTTAGGATAAAGTGAGTGTCCTTCATATGAGCTCTCTATTACAGCATTTACCATTCTAAATGTCATTGGCTTGCTTGTCACCCTCAATGAACTATGAGCTCCTTAGAAAGATATTGCAGCTTATTCATTTTAGTATTCTTGGCATCCAGCACTTACTAGGCACTCAATGAATGTTTGTTAAACAAATAAGTAAAATTTCAACAAGCAGAGGATATGGCTGGGACATTCTAAACAGGGTAATAACATAAACAATGACATGGAAGTGAGAAAGCACTTGTGTGAGATTAGTGACTGGTCTTGACCCAGATGGAGAATTATTTCAGGAAGAGATAAAGAGATGAGTATAGTGAGAGATGGCTAGAAAGCAAGTAGGGCCACATTATAGAAGGCCACCTTTCAAAGTCTACCTACAACATAAATCACAAATTTAATAAATACATTCACACAATCATAAAAATGTCAAGTGCTAGGATAAAGGATCCCGCTGAATACAGGATCATTTTATATATTACACCATAGGATAGTCCTACGACCTGGATGTGCCTAGGACAGTCCCAGTTTATACTAATTGTCCCAACTTAGTCATTAATAGCATCCTTTTCATTCCCCGAAGTGTCTCCATTTGGAATACAAAACATGGTCATTCTACACAAGGCAAAGATCTGGACCCCTGTGACAGGTTATATAATGAGTTAAAATAAAAGTCTGTCAACTTCTAAATCTGCAAAGTGTTTGGAAGGAAAAAATGTTAGTAAACAGAGATAAATCTGACAAACAACTGTAGTAATCACATAAAACATTATTTGACATAGCAGGCTATGTACATAAAGGGAAAAAATTGCACTTCTGCTAAAGTAGTGACGTTATTGTCAATTTTCTTTTCACATTTCTTTTAGTTTTATACTTGTAACTGTATTAGTCTATTTTAATTTAGTTTCTTACTCATGATGAACAAAATGTAAAAAAGTATTAAAAATTTTATACATAAAACTATTCTATAATACTTTGGCTCTGCCATATAATACAAATCTATCATGATAATACTACACTAGAAAACAAACGTCTTTACTTGAAAACTTCTTTAATTTACTTAAAGAAGCCTGAAAATATGACTCTACAGGTTCCTATTCAATGTTTATTTTTTGTCCTCTTCTTAACTAAACAGATGTTGATTTTTTTTTTTAAGATTTTATTAGGGAATTGGGGGAGGGGAACAGACAAGTTGCTGTCCTTTTGTTCTTCAGTCTAGTTGTGGAGGACATCGCTTCACTGGCCCACGTTGATATTATCATTGTGCTCTTCCCGGGTGAGGCAGATCGGTCGCTGGCCACTGGATGGCTGCTCACAGCGGTTCTTGGCAGCTCATACCGGCTGCTGGCAGCTCATACCAGCTGCCGGCCACTCACGGTAGCTTATGGCAGCCCACTGCAGCAGGGGCTGCAGCCTATGCCGTCGCCTCACAGCAGCCCAACTCCAGGTTGAGCTGTTGTTCGCCATCTTAGCTGTAGGGGGGCACAGCATCACTGGCCCACATGTGGGATCCGAACTGGGGCCCTGCTGCTCCGAGCTGGCGTCCCAAGCCAACTCTTAACCAATGCACCACTCAGCCGGCCCAGACATTTATTTTTTTGAGGGACAAAGTGCTCAATTAAAAGTTCTTATCTCCTCAAATTTTCTTGTAGCTACAAATAGCCATGTGACCAAATTGTGGCCAATGAGTTACAAGTGGAAGTAGTTGGAAAATGATTTTTCTCTTGATAAAAAGAGAAAGACAACTGGACCATGCTTTCTGCCTTTTGCCCTCTGCTTTTCTCCTTCTTCCTGATGGATGCAGACTTGATGTAATGATTTAGAGCAAGGAGCTTGCAACCATGAGAGCCAATTACACTCTAAAGATGGCAGACAGCCTTCCATCTGAGAAGATTTGCTTTGTAACACCATATTAATTCCACTTGTACTTCCAAATTCTTCAATTCCGAGATGAGCCTCTACTAGACAATCACACACAGATAACCAATGGTTGCCTGGGATGAGGTTGGAGAGAATACTAAATGCAAAAAGGCACCAAAAAACTCTTTGGGGGGATGCAAATGTTCTATACCTTGATTATGGTGACTGAACAAGTTGATACATTTGCAAAACTCATTAGTTAAATGGTGCATTTCACTGTATGCAAATTATACCTTAAAGATAATTTTCTAAAAATCATTTGCTGCACTAGATTATAATATTTAAACATATGATTCAACTGCAGACATTTTTTAAAAATAGGAACACAATAAATATTTGTTGGCCTGACAAATTATTTGTTAGTTCTATGGTATTAGAATAATACAAATTATCCTGCTGGAGGAGAAAAACACATACAACGACTGAAATAACAAATGCAGTATTTGTATACACATTTATAGTTCTTTTGGGAAGCGACTAAGTCAGGAAGACCTGACTCAACAGTTTTAAGAAAACAAAATAGATAATTCACTAATAAATAATAATATGCTTTATCCTTTTTAATTCTTTGTAGAAATTTATAAAGAAATTTCTAGTCTAGAAACTTAGTGATATCATCAGGTTTTTAGCTTAAAAAAAATCAACGTGCATGTAAAAATACTGCTGACTCTTGATTAAAACATTCATAGAAGATATTAGTGGCAAAATTAAATCAAAAGAAGAGATGGTCTAAACCAGTGTTTCACATACCATGTTTTGGAGAAAAACAGAGACCTGAGCATATTTCATAAAAAATGTGTATGACATTAAATGAATTTAGGTAATGATAGTTTGAACAAGGTCAAACAAGTTTCTTTACTTCTTTCTCACAGGCTTTAATGCAAATGTGTCCTAAACTTATTTCAGTCAGAGCATCTCACAGGACTTGGTTAAGGGGTCACACTTCAGAAAACACTGTTGCAGGACAATAACACAAGCCAAATCAAATCAGGTTTTTCCTACATGTTTTATTTACACATCTCTGGAGAAGTTAATTATGCCCTTTATTTAAAATATCCCCTTTGGGGCCAGTCGAATGGCACATTGGTTGAGAGCTGGCTTGGGATGCCAGAGGACCCCGGTTCGGATCCCACATATGAGGGCCTGTGATGCTGCCCTCTACAGCTAAGATGCTGAACAACAGCTCAACCTGGAGTTGGGCTGCCATAAGTCACAGGCGACAGTGTAAGCTGTAGCCCCTGCTGCAGTGGGTTGCCATGGGCTACCGTGTGTAGCCAGCAGCCGCCATGAGCGGCCGTCCAGAAGCCGGCTACTGATCTGCCTCGCCTGGGAAGAGTGCAATGATTGTGCCAGCTTGGGCCAGTGAAGCAACGTCCTCCACAACTAGACTGAAGAACAAAAGGACAGCAACTTTTCTGTTCCCCTTCCCCAATTCCCCAATGCTGTTACCTCCCCCAATTCCCCAATAAAATCTTTAAAGAAAAATCAACTACTTAATCTGTGGGGTAAATTCAACCAATTATGAGTCCTTTCTTTAGTGTTAAGAGATCTAAAATTTAGTTGTGGACTCTCATGCATGATAATCATACTACTTTGAACAAATCACATACCATCTCAAAAGCTCAATTTCTTTAACTATAAAGTGCAATAAAGCATAGACTACATAAACTCTGAAATTTTTTAGCTCTAAATATGCTATTTTCCAACTCATTACATTTACTATTTATTAAACAACGTGAAAGAGAATTTTTTACAATATAGCTTACATATTTTCAGAATCATCATGAAGTATGAATTTTGTTTGCATAACAGCCCCCTTATATTTATCACTTAAAAATTTAAATGTGAGATTCATTTTGGTAAAAGGCAGATTTTTATGTCTGAAGTATAACTATATTTAAAACTCATCTATGTCTGTGGGCTAGGGGCGAGGGACAATGGACCACAGCTTAGCAAAGTGTGAGCACCTGAAAGCAAAGGACTGTCCTTCAGCCAGATGCAAAGCATGAACACACTATGTCCTTTCAATTGTTAAGTATTTTCAAAAGCAAAGTTTAGCTTTAACATAAAAAGAGAACAATGTTCCAGTGGATAAGTAGAAAGACACAATAATAATGACATCTAATGAATATTCTTTAAGAAATTTTAATTATTTACCTGTAATGGACCCAAGATAGAGCTTGTTGTATACATAAAAAAGAGACGAAGATAACTCAGAACATTTGCAAATGCAAAAAGCCCTTCTGCCACCAGCGTAGGATGGAATGCATCCCAGTCCTTCCGATCAGCAAAATCATGAAACTAAGGTTAGGAAGAAAAAGCCAAAGGTAAATAAATAGCTCTCTTGATTTAGGAAAATAAAAACAAATATTCTGATTGCCGAAAAAATTATTTTAATTATGTCTCCTAGGGGATCTCCATTTATGTTTTATACAGTTCTCTTCTTTCAATAGAAATAATATTTTTTAAACTAAATAAAAGATTTCTACATAGGTGATGCAATATCAGTAACTCTATATAAGGTTTTGGCAGAAATTCTTAGGTTTTGAAAAAACTAAACAATTCAAAAAATTGTCATTAAATTTTTTATGAATGAAACGTTTGCTTGTTTTTCTTAAATCCCATAACACAAACTTTAAGTACCTTTGCATGTCAATTACCGTATTTTGCTATGCATAATGTGCTCCTGTATATAACGCACACCCACGTTTTTTGCCCAACTTTCAGGAAAAAAAATCTTTCGTTTTAATTTTTTAATTCAAATTTGTATTTGTTTACATTTAGGTACTTGTTTTTTGTATTATACAAGAATTTTAGCATTTATTTTTTAACATATTGTACAAGAAATTTTATGAATCAGTAACAAATTTATGATATTTACACATCATAGAAGGCCAAAAACTTTTTATCATTCCAAGTTCGCCGTAAATTCAACAAACCGAATATCGTATTCCAGGGTATTATTTTGCATATGGATATCACTGTTGATTTCTAGAGTTACACTTTTAACTCATAAGCATAAACAAAAGAATTTAAAACAGTTATATAGACACTGAATTAGTACTACCCATGTAAATAATGTGCATCCTTATTTTTATCTCACAAATTTGAGCCAAAATGTGCGCATTATACACAGAAAAATACGGTAATTAGTTAGCAAATTACATTAACTTAGCCCCCTGACTCAGGATTCTAGAATGAACCATAGAAATTCTTCTCCCTTGTAAATACCAACAAAAAGAGTCCACTGTTATACCCAGAGAGTGATCACATAGTTCAATTGTCTGGGATAGTTGCAGATTATATACCAGTTTTCCTGGCATAATTATTAATAGAGTCTCTCTCTTTTCACTCTGAAAATATCCTGGTTTGGATGGAGATGTCTGGGCATCTCCACTTCTGGAACTAAAGAGACCAGTCAAGAAACCAACAACCCTCAAACGCCTTATTGAACTATATATCTATGTATGACCAAATTTTTATTTTCTTAGTAATTTCACAACTATGGTCATTGAACATACCAAACAAACATGCTCCATACTAGTGATTACTTAAAAGAATAGAGTTTTTTTAATAAAGTAAAATGATGTAAGATAACCAGTTTGCTTTCTCTATAGTCTATAAATTAGTCAAGAAACAGAAAATATAATATTATATCTTTTAGTTCCTTGAATGTGACACCTCAGGAGAATTATAAACTCAAGGTTTAAACAAAGATAGTTAACATAAAATCTATTACCTTTTCTAGGTTTGGGGGGAGCTTAAATCTTTATAAACGTAAAATTATAAGATGCGTATAAGGCTAGATTTTTGCCAAATTCTAAATTAAAAAAATACAGGGATCAGAAAAACAATTACATTTACATCACTTTTTAAGCTATGTAACATCATAATCATGATTTGGAATGTGTAAAACACTATATAATGAATTCCATTCAGATAAACTTGTTTTTGTGGCATATGTAAATATCTAACACAAATCAATGTAAGTAACTTTATGTTTTCATTTGAAGCATATACAAGTTAATGAGGTATACAAGCCTAGCTCAGGTCTAAGGACTCAGCATTTGGAAGAAAGAAAATGCCTAGACAGACCTGGATTTAAATCCAGTCTTGGTTTCTTACTGTGTGGTCTTGGACAAATTACTTAATATTTCTGAGCTTCGTTTTCCTGATTTGCAAAGTGGGGATAAGGACATCTGTCTCATAGAGTCCCTGTGAGGATAAATGAGATAAAGTATAGCAAGTGTCAACCGGGCCTGGCACATAGTAGTAGGTAACTGACATTGAACTACAGCTAACACCCTTCACACTATTGGAAAGGAAGGAAGGAAACAGTGTGTACGGTTCCCTCACACAGGGATCTGTGGAAAAGGAAAACACGTCAGATAGAACTGAGCCAAAGCAACTCTGAGTTCAGTGCCCCAAACCTCAGGTTTTTCCCAAATAAACTCCATTTGTACCTCCAATTGACATAGATAATAGTCACCTTGTTGTGAGCAACCACTTTGAGGGCAAAGGTTGCCAAATAAAGTGAATTCATGACAAAACTGAGTTGATTACGAGATTCTTCTAAAAAGTCTTCCAACCCTTCATACCAGAGTCTTTTAATGTCTGACCAGATCATCCCTAAAAAAAATGAAAACAAAAAAAATCAAACAGAGCTCTTCATTCAATAATAAACTAAAAAAATACTTTAAGACTCAAAGTATTAAATAAAACCCTTGCATCAGCTATAGGCTAATTCAGAAGAAACAAACAATTTTTGGTAAAAAAATTCTCAAAATTTGAAAGAAAATAACCTTAAGTTTGATATGACAGTATCTTTCCCAGAGAGGGATTTTAATAAGTGAGGTCAAACAAGCCTAAGAAAACAAATAAATTGATGCTACACCTCCCCACCACCCCAAAGGCTCAGTTCCTGATTTTCTCTATCTACACTTGCTCCTATGGTGACTTTATCCAGCCTAGTCTAACGGCTTTAAGAATCATCAGTGTGGCAGCCTTTCAAATTACTACCTCTAAACCTCTTTCTTAAATTCCACTTATAGAGGTACTAGGCCACTCCACGTCTCCACCTGGATGTCCTCACATGTCCAAGCTGGATTCCTAATCCCTGGCCCCACGTTCACTGCACTGGAAGACTTCACCATCTCTCTGATGGCAACTCCATCCTTCCAGTTGCTCAATCCAAATGTCCTTGAATCACCCTTGACTCACATTTCTTTTAAACCACACATTCAATGCAATAGCAAAACCTACTGGCTCCACTTTCAAAATATATTTAGGAGCTAACTTTTCTTACTATCACTTCAGCTTCAAACCACCATCCTCTCTTGCCTGAATTATTAAATAGCCTACCTGGCCTCCATTTTTCTACCCTGATCCCCCTAAAATCCACTCTGCACACAGCAGGCAGAGTAGTCCCTTTAAAATGCAAGTGATACTTCTGTACTCAAAACTTTTCAGAGGAGAAAGGATTAACTGCATGTAAGAACTCTTTCTTCATGGGAATATAACCTCATGTTATCTATCACAGTGGTTTCCTTGGAAACATACTACGTTAAGAAAACCATGGAAGGACAGCAGTGTTCAACATCATAAAAACATTATATCCTAATAATAAAACATTAAGTCAAAGGATACCATTAATATTCTGTGCATTCATCAACACATTATTTCCTCTTTCCTACCTTGCTTTTTATAACGTATCCCTACTGTTTTCTGGATGACTAAGGAAACGAACAGGAAACAAACAAACATACAGAAGTCAGTCATCATGAGTCAAAAGTTACTGTGCTCACTGCTTGAATAATAAATTGAAGGGGTGCCTTTAAACAAGCAGGCAAACGAGTCCTACATGTTTACTGAGAGCACATTCAGCTTTATATGTTTAACAAAGCCTGAGTGATCCAGTCACATAACAGGCTTAAAAGACATCCTTGGCAAGGAATATCCAGATCTAAATGTTGTAAAGCAGAAGCTGTGCTGAGAAAAGTAAAAGAATTCCATGAATTTTGCATTGCACTCTTCTACTGAGGCAGATTATGGTTGGAAAATCAATCGTGTGTGTGTGTGTGTGTGTGTGTGTGTGTGTGTGTGTGTGTGTGTGTGTGTTCAATAATGTTATTGAAAACACGGCCATCATGATTAAAAGGAGTAACCACAGTTTTATCGTTAATATGCAATTCAATGACAGCAGCATATTTATTTATGCTGTCCAAAGGGTGGTTCTGACTCTGAGTTCAATGAGTTCTACCTCACTGCTAAGAAATATAACTTTAATTTGATTCTTATCAAACTCGGGTAAACTGAATCTTATTTACAAAACAAAGAAAATATTCTTTCTTTCTCATTAGCATTTAAACAATAGGTTATAAATAAACCATATAAAATTTCCTTTCTTTAAGACTAAGGTATACACAACAATCTTTCAGGAGTAGTTCAAATAGAGGGAAAAAGTGCTTCTTAGAGATTCCTTTTTAACCTATTCATATAATAATATAAACAAATTTCACATTGGAAAGGCCTACAACAATGCAATTTGGAACTATATATAATAAAGTACAAATTATTTTCTAAATTAAAATATTAAATTTTAGATAAAATGGCAGAAACACAGGAAACAGGAAATATTAACAATAAGAAATTATTTAATTCTCTTTAACCTAGAATTCAGATGCATATTGTTTTTATGCTATCTACCTAATTTTAAATATTAATGCATCATGGATTGCATATGGCTAAAAATAAAACACAATGAAATAAGTTACTTGAAATTAACTAATTTCCAAATAAAAATAAAAATCTCAAAATATTCAAATTCTTTTTATAGATGAAGAACTAAAAGTGAACATTTTACATTAACTCGTTTCAAATTATTTAATAATTGAAACAATCGAGAACATATTAATCAATCAGTGCCTTATACCATCAAAAAGACTAAATTTCAATATCCTTTTACCACAGAGCAAGTAAAAAGATAAGTGGGAAATGCTGAGGCTAAAAACACGTTGAAGATCCAGAGGTAAACAAAGGAGTTAAAAGTCTGCAAACAGGGCCGGCCGAGTGGCGTGTTGGTTAAGAACTGGCTTGGGACGCCAGAGGGCCCCGGTTCGGATCCCACATATGAGGGCCAGTGACACTGCCCTCTACAG